AGGAGACGCGGCCCATCACACTGGCCACGTTGACCACGCGGCCCCGCGCCCGCCGCACCAGCGGCAGGAGGCTCAGGGTCACCTCCACCAGCCCCACCAGGTTCACATCCAGCACCTTCACGAAGTCGGCCTTGGTCAGCCACTCGTTGGGGGCGGTGGGGATGGCGATCCCCGCGTTGTTCACCAGCCCCCAGAGCCCTGCAGAGGGGACGGGATGAGCCGGGGCCGCTCCACGGCCCCACGCCCAGACCCGGCTGTGGGAGGGGGCTGCTGGGGTGACCATGGGGGTGACAATGGGGGTGACAGGGGGGTGCCCACCCCAGCCTACCTCGGTCACCCACGCGCTCCCGCACCCAGGCGCTGGCGGCGGCGATGCTCTGGCTGGAGGTGACGTCCAGCAGGACGGTTTGGAGCCGTGGTGAGGCGGCCGCCCGCAGCCGCGCCGCCCCGGCCTCGGTCAGGCAGGCGGCCAGGACCCGCAGCCCGCGCCCGTCCAGCTGCCGCGCCAGCAGGTTCCCGAAGCCGCTGTCGCAGCCCGTGATCAGCACGTGCTTCTCCCACAGCCCCGGCACCGTCTGCCGCTCCCGGTGCCAGCGCCGCAGCAGGAGCAGCCCCGCCAGCACCGCCAACACGCACAGCCACAGCCACATCCTCGGTGCCGGCACCGCTCGGGGACAGCCCGGGCCGGCGGCGCTCGGGCCGTTTATACAGAGCCGGGATTGCGGCAGAACCCGGGGCGAAGTTTTGCCTTCCTGGTGTGCAATTCCCGGCTCTGCCTTGCACCACTCCCCGTCCCTGGGGCTCTGCCGTGCCCTCAGCAGGCCAAAGCCGCTGCCCCCCAGAGCTGGGTTTGGTTCCACCCTCCAGTACCAACCTTGGACCCTTCCCTCTGGCCCCGCTGTGGTGGGGGACGCTGTCCCCAGCCCTGGCAGTGGAGTGGGGCAGCCCCCACTGAGCTCTCTGCAGGAGGAGGAGGAGGAGGAGGCTGCTGCTCCTCCTCCTGCAGAGAGCGCGGTGGGGGAGGAAGATGCTATTAGAGGCTTCCCAGCCCTGCGCCCAGAGGCAAATCTGCCTGGGTTGGAACACGTGTGGGTTTGATTTGTGTGTGTTAATCCCTGGAGAGCCACTTTGGGCGAGTCCAGCTGTGGCACCCCCAGTGGGGTCCACACCCCGTGTGGAGCAGGCGCTTGGGGGGAACAGCCGGAGCCCCCAGGAGCCCCCACGGCACAGCCTCAGTGCCACGGCCTGAGGGTGACATCACACCGTGCCAGGAGGGGTCTTTATTCAGGACAAAGCCATCTGTGGGCAGGGAACAAACTCGGGGAGCTCAGCACGGCCTCGGGCGACGTCGGATCTCACCTCGTACCGCCAGATCCCACCTGCACGTCGCCAGGCCCAGGCTCAGGCATCGCAGTGCCTCAGCCTGGCACCGCTGCCTCAGGCCTTCCCCACGGATTTGGGGTAGAACAGGGTGAACACGGCGTCGGTGAGGGCCGAGGGCAGGTAGCTGAGGGGGATGTAGAGCAGCTTGGCGTCCCAGCCGGCGGAGTAGCGGGCGCGGGGGTGGAGGCTGGTCAGCGCGTGCTCCATGCAGTTCGTCACCTTGGACAGGTCGGAGTTGTAGGTCTTCTGCATTATCTTCAGCATTGCCACAACTGCAGGGGCAGAAAACGCCGCTGAGACCCTGAAGCCGAGCAGCTTGGTGGGGTGTCGGGGTGGTGGAACCCTCGTGGGACCCCCCCTGATTCTGGGGATGTGCCTCATGTCGGGAGAGGAACGGCATCACTCAGCCTTTGGGAGAGGGACTTACACTGCCTCAGGTAACTCTCCCCATAACTTGTTTTGATTTCCTCCGGAAGCTTCTCCCAGGCAGAATGAAAATTCCTCTCCAGGTTCTCGACGTTGGTGATCATGGTGCTGAAGTAGCCTGGCTCGATCACACTGACCTTCACCCCGAAGTTGCGCATCTCAAGCCTGGAAAGGGACCAAGTGCCGTGGGACGAGGGAGCAGCACTGGAACGTGCCCACGGCTGCCTCTCCCATGGGATGCACGGCAGCCTCGTGCCAGAGGAGCAGAGCACGACCATCCTGCTGGACCCCGTGCCTGAGCACGTGGCTGAGGCAGCGCGTGAGCAAACACGTGCCACATCCGGATGGGTTGGGCCGGGCACAAAGCAAAGGTTGGGACACTGCAGGGCTGTGTCCCAACCGATCCCAGGCAGGGGCAGGATCTGATAGAGGGGCTCCGTGCCAGGACAGGTGCTGCTCACGCTTCAGCAGCAGCTACAACCCCTCGACCTGTGCTCGGCTGTGGTGCCTCGAGGATGGGGATTGAGAGCTGTGCCGGGCAAAGTCCAGAAAAACAAATTGGGAAATCAGGATGGCGCCGCGCCAGACTCACCTGAGGCTGTCGGAGAAGGCCTCCACGCCGAACTTGGAGGGGCAGTACCCGCCACCGAAAAAGGAGACGCGGCCCATCACACTGGCCACGTTGACCACGCGGCCCCGC